TTATATTATAAATATATAATTTATATAATATAATATATAATTTAGTTATATATATATATATATATATATTATATATATATATATATAAACTAAATTGTGCTTTTATAAACTCAAAATTAGTTCTAAAGCAAAATTGTATTTCTGCATTTGTAAAACATTATTAGTCAATTGTTCTGAATTGTTTTGTGATACAGTTCTTAGGGTTAACTCGAAGAGTCTCTTAACGTTATACAACCAAATGTTGTTTAAAGTGCTTTTTATCTAAAGCTGGTTATATTTACTCAAAGTAACTCAGTTTCAACCTAAAATAAAAACATACAGGCCAAGTTAGACAGAGATACGAGGCTACCAGCAGCAAGACAGGGGCCCTTAAAACTCAGCAAACACGAGCGCTTTCATTTTCTCCAAAATCGATCCTATAATTTTTAACTTACCAACTTGCTCATCCATGTTGTGGTTTAATGTTTGACTGCATGAAGAATCGCAGCACCTGTGCTGTCATTCTCTTACATTACTACTTTTGAGTTCTCATTTTCTTAGGTTTTGGTATTTAAATGGGCATGAGGGATCTGTTAATCTGACAGTCCTTCAACGAGTCATCTACTGTGTCGTCGCACACCTCTGGGAGAACTGCTACGTTGTAATCGAGGTGGATGTTTTCACATACACGTCGCTTCAGATGATTCAGTGTTTCTTTTACCTCTATCAGGAACTTCAAAGTCCAAAAAAACAGTGTTCATTATTTACTACAGGCTTTAGGAATGCGCTGCTGCTATTGCTAGAGTGTACAAATCAGGATCAAACGAAGATTACTGAATAACCTGCAATATTTCCAAAACTCACTCCGCCATCTTGCCTCCCTGCTCACAGTCACAGGACCCCTACCGAGGCTGTCTCTTTTAATGCCCGATTAAAAAATAAATAAAAACCACCTACTTGCCTAAAATGCTTGTACAGATAAATAAAAATTGCAAGCCTACGCTCGTCTCTGGCCACCAATCAGCGTTAATTTGACATTGTAATGCAAGCATTTGACCGGTAAAATTAAGAATAAATTAAATTTCCGTACTACAATAAACCCTTTAATACAAAGATTTGTTTATTTTGATTTTTTTGTATACAATTTTCAAAAGCCAAGACATTGTAAAAGGTATATTCTGTTAATAAAATGGCACATTTATTGCTACATTAATTATATACAGGACAATTATGAACTTTTTAGAATATATTTATATATGAATAAATGGCAGACAGAGGACCTTGTATGAACTTGAATCCATCGACTCCACAGTGTATTTCATACTAATTTGGCGCACCCATTTTTAATTCAGCAATGATTCAAACCTTGCATCCAAGAGTTTAAACCAGTTATTCCTTTTGATGAAGCCAAATTCCACCAGCTGAAAACTTTTCAAGCTCCTGCAGTGATCAATGTGTATTTGAGACTTTAGACGTTTCAGCTACTGTGGGAAATAAAATTGACACTGAAACCAAAGCTATGCATACTGAATTATATTAATCATTGCCAAAAGGCAGCCTTTCCTAAATATTCGGAATAAGGCGAGTATAATCTGGACCCATGATCATGATTAAAACAGCAGTTTGGACTTTGTAAACCAGCTGAAGGGTCAAAAATTAAAGAAAACTAAACCAGATCTGCTTAACATTTATTTATTTAACTAGATACACAGAAAGAAAATCTCTTTATACCATTTAAACTTCTTCCTCAAAAAATTGAAAAAAAAAAAAAGTATTAAGGGTGGATGGGGGAATGAACAAGTACCTCTTTAATCTCCAAGATAAATGAAATGATATGGTTCACAACATAAAACTGTCTTAAATGAAAAATACAACAAGTTCAGGCACTGATAAGGTATCACTCTCCCATCATGACATCTTAAGTCTTGAGAATGAAAAGGCCACACTATTGATTTGTATAGGTCTTTTTCTTCATCACTTTTTTTTTTCTCTTTTTTTTTGTAAAAAATAAACACACAAAAAATGCTCCACCTCCCACTTGTGATTACATGTTGGTAAAAAGAAACCATCCACATCATGACATGGGAATAACATCACAATAACACTGATTTGTTCTCAATATTACCTTACATACAAAGCCAGACATCTGCCTCTGAAGTGAGCTGCACACTGAGAGCCACTCGGTCGAGGGCAGACGCAAGAAAAATGTGAAATGAAAACTTTTACACTGTGCTAACAAAAACCCAAGAACACAACTTTGAAAATGAAGGCAATCCACATTTGTATGGTTAGCTACATTCAAAAACCTGTTGCATAATTACTGTTGGAGACAAAAATCCCTTTCCATTGTTTTTAAATCAGTGCCTCAATGCTAAAGTAAGACCACCTCAACATGACTGCGGCACAAACTCTGCTCACTCATGCCTAAATGGAAAGAAGGCATTCCTTTTGTTGCGCCTTACAACTAAAACTGGAATAAAAAAAAAGGATATACAAACACTTTATTATCTGTTGATCTTTTTTTTTCTGTCATCCCAGTTCGATGTCAAATCAACTTTTGAACACCATTTAAATGTTAAATATCCCCTTATACAGCTCATCTACAATACACTCTAAACTTCAAACTAATATCGCCATTTATGTAAAAAATCTACAATGTATAGACTAACAAAAAATATATATTTTTATATATATTTACTTTTGAAAAATGCAACAGAATAATGCATGAAGTGAATTTACACGTCACACTTCTCTCGGTAAGAAAGGTGAGAACACGCCGACTAGGGAGGAAGGTGAGGGGTTTGTAATTCAGTGGGAATGGTCATTTAGGAATTACACAAAGTCTGCTTTAACAACTGTGGCGAAAAATAAACTTTTTTTTTTTTTGTATTTTACAGATCATCAATAAAAGGGGAAAGACTTGAGCTGTTTAGTCTGCTGGCACTGTCAGTAAAACATTTCACCAGCACCAAGTAGTGCTGATCACTTCCAAACGATTTGAGTAGCTTTAATACAAGACCTTTAGGGAGTGAAATGTGATACAAGTTAACTGCCTAAATCTATACAACTGTGCTTTGTCTCATCTGAATGCTTTAGTACATAAAGCAGTACAAAAACCCGACTGTACAACAAAGGGCTGCTGGAGAAACACTAGAATGGCTGGTCAACAACGAGGAAGAACAGTGTGTCTTTGTTGACGGATTCTACTTTCTTGGATAATTCATAAGTTTCCAGGAAGAAGTCTTTGATTCCAAGTCTCCAGACGCCTTGTAGGTTGAGACCGGGTCTGAGCCTCAGGACTGGCTCAAAGTCAAGGGGTTCCCAACTTTCAGGTAAGCTGGATTTGAAATGTGAAAAAAGTTGGCTGACCTTTCTGCCTCTGTCCAAACGCACGCATGCAAAAAGGTCACTGAATTTAGACAATGCGTCTTCAACTATGTGTTACATAACATATGTAAGACTGTACCATCACGCTGGGAATGACATACATTAAAAATAATTGCTCATACACATAAGCAGTCCCTCACAAATGTTCCTCAAATGTACAGCAATTTTGCCTTAATGTAAAATAGAAAACATGTAACAATTAGGCACAAATCCTCAATTCAGTTTGTGTTTGTTTATGCCTCCTTTTTCCTTTTTTTTCCTCCCTCCACCAGAGCACCTCTTGGCAGTGTGTGGAGTCCCAAAACGTGGCAGGACAAAACATAACTCTGGTGTTCAACCATCATGTGAAAAATTTAAACAAATTTAAACATTTTACATGTAGAAAACAAAAACAAAACAAAAAAAAATTAAGGAAAAAAAAAGTTCTTCACATTTGAGTTTGTAGTCATGGCTGGGAGTGTGAAAAACACACTGTGTCAGTTTTGGCAGTATGCATGTGAGTACAAGTGTGTGAATCTTGAAAACTTGAACGGACAACACAGACATGTACGCACGCGCACGCACCACACACGCACACACACGCTGAGAATAAGGGGTGGAAGAAATCTGTTAAGGCCACATCCTCTGACAGCCAGGAGACACCACCAGATCTGTAAAACGGACAGAGCACAAACATGATGCGGTCACATTTCAGCGTCGCACAACTTTATCACGAGGTCTCATCGTCACGTGACGTCACCTGGTGTTACATGTGGCCAACAGGATTGTGGCCATCCCCTCCCATGCTGGGGTGGCCTCCAGGGAGCTGCATGGGAGCGTCTCCCACCACCCCAGATACCTTCTCTTCCTCCCGCCGTTTTAAACACGCTGCTTTGGGATTTAGGTTGCGCTCTGACAAAAACAGAAACACACAGCGTTTGAAAAGACATTAAGTGCGTGCATGTTTATGAAGCATTCACACTATTGTCGTCCATTTTTCTCCTGTATTCTATTTGTATGGTATTGGTGCAACTTCAGCTTTTTGAACATATTTAGCCTTTTCTGCCATTTTTTTCCCTCATAGAAAATGAATTGAGCTCATTTTACATTCTTCAACTCTTTAGATGCATTTACAACCTTTTACTGCTCAGTTCACATTTTGTTCTGCTTCAGCTCTTTCAGCTTCACTGTGCACATTTAAACTTTTTATCAGCTACTTTCAGCTGTGTTGTGCTCCTTTCAGATAATTTCTGCTAACTACAACATTTTTGTGCTTCTTCTAACTTCTGCTAATTTCAGCTCATTTCTGCAAGTTTCAGCTTTTTCTACTATTTAGCTGTTCTATGCTAATTTGAGCTTTTTCAGCCAATTTCACATTTTTTGCACTCGTTTCCATTTTTTTCAGCCTAATGCAGCAAAACTGTTCTCTCTCTCCATTTCCTTCTGGTAATTTCGGCTTCTGCTTTTTTAGCAACTTTTCTGCTGTTTTTTTTTGGCCCCTTTGGGCAAACATGTTCTTTCTGCTTTCTTCTGATAATTTAAGCTTGTTCTACCTTTTCAGCTACATTTTTGGCTATTTTTAAGTCAATTTAACAATTTCAGCTGTTTTCAGATAAATTAAAGTTTTTCATGTTAATTTTTGCAACTTTCAGCCTAATTATTTACTTTATACTAATTTCTGCTTGTTATGCTCCTTTTAGCATTTTATACTAGTTTCAGCTTTTTCTGCTGTTTCAGCAACTATTACGGTAAGTTGTTGTATGCTAATTTTAGCTTTTTCAAATAATTCCACATTTTTTTAGCTCATTTCAGCTCTTTCCAATTCATTCTGGTAGTTTAAGCTTCTTTCTGACTTTTCATCTACTTTTCAGCTGTTAATTTCAGCTTTTTTGTTAAACTCGTAATTTCTGTGCTCATTTCTGCTTATCCTAATTCAGCAAATATGTGTTCTTTCTGGTTTCTTAAGATAATTTAGGATTGTTCTTACATTTCAGCATGTTTTAGCTAATTTCAGCTGTTTTTCAGCTAATTCTTCTGCAATAAGCTTTCACACTGCATTTTCACAGGAAATACAATTTCCATAGTTATAGTTTAAATTCTGTCTGCAGACTCACCTCTGACTTGTTGTTCTAAATTGAGGATGACGTTGACAGCTTGGTGAAGGATGAGAAGTTTGGTCTGAGGTTTGTCGTGGCTGAGGTGCAGCTGGCACATCCTCCCAAGCTCCTTAAATGCTTCGTTGATGTCTCGTACTCTGAGACGCTCTCTGGCATTGTTAGCCACTCGCCGTTCCTTCTCACGCTCCATCTTCACCTCAGGAGGAAGGTCCTCATCATCCTCATTGTCTTGACTGGTCACAAACAGAATTAAAGTGTTGATGCCACGAGCAGAAAAAAAACTTGAATTCATGCCATCACACAGAGTTTGAGTAACAATGCGACTATAAACCCACATTTAAGCAGTAAACAAAGTCCCTCAGTAAGACCATTGTGCAAACAGTTTCAGACGACATAGGCACCATGAAGACACAGTTCTCAGCATGCTGAGCTTATGGAGCCAGGTCACTGTTATATGTGCTGCTTCTTAGACTAAGTGGCCAAGAATTCAACATGGCTTCCACTGTTGGTTGTAAGTCCAGGAGCATAATAAAATAAGAATATTGTCATTAATTAAAGGCTGTTGGTCTCAGTGAGGATCATTTTGGCCCAACAACAAACAACTGGATTAGAAACATCAAATTCTGACCAAAAATCAGGTCTTCTGATAATTATATGAACCCGTTTCTATGTTGAAAAAATTCACAAAAAACATCCTGAAAGCGTTAAAAATCCTGGATATGTGGATGAATTTGAGATCTTTTCTTGTTTTTTTCTTTTATGATTTTTCAGATTTACAAGAAATTTAATTAATTATGTCACATTACTAGCATCTTCTCATCTTTATCAGTTGCGCTCACTTCCAAATTTACTTACTATAGAAACACTGTGCAAACTGATAACATTCTTCTTAGTTTACATTTAGGTTACCAACATTCCCAATAGTAGCATAGCATCTAAATAACTTAAATTGGTACAAAAAAAAAAAACTATACACATCAAAATCTGGGGAGCTTACAAGGAAAAATATTAAAGAATATTAATAAAAAGTGGGTGAGAAAAAAAAATGAATGCAAAACAATATTACATCATTCAGCAGTTGGGGGGAGAAGTCTTGACAGAGAAGTTATATAAATCCACCTCTAGTTGGAGTTGTGTATTTTATCCACTTGTTCCAAACTCGATAAAATTGATCTCTTTGGATATGCAGGGTAGAAGTTAACTTTTCCATCTTGAATATTTCTAAGATAATATTCAACCACCCTTCCACTTTAGGAACTGAAGTGAACATCCTGACTGTAAAACTAACAACTTCTTACAATTTAAGCATGTTTTTCCTCTCAACATGTATGCAAAGACAAAATTATATGATCCACTGCGAAATTATAAAGTTCATTTGAAAGAGAATAAAATGTTCTGAGGGCACAAAAATATTTAAAGCAAACTAAAGAGTCACATTGCTCTGCAGGTGTAATTTGCAGAATGCACACATTAATGTTGCTTTGACATTAACAAGCCATTATCTCATAACACAGCCTAGTGACCTCATCAAATTTTAGCAAACTGAAAATTGATGTTAGACTATAAAAGGTTGGTTATAAAAGTTGGACAAAGTATTCTAAAAAGGTATTTTTATCCTAAACGCTAACAGTGGTCAAAGTGCTCACAGCGATTCCATAACTCTGCTCCTGGATTCCATTTTTTATTTTATTCACGTATGTAAAAATACAGCCCTGACTTTGTGCTGAATCTGTACCATCGAAGAACAAGTCATCGCCAAAACCCCACAAAGCACTGGAAGTTAATTCTCCAATGGAGAAACTTACTCATCTTTCTGCTCCGATAGGCCAGATAGCATCGGAAGGGTCAACGCCTCCTTTCTGAAATCATGACATGAAGGGAAGGGGGGGATTTTGACATTGTTAAAAAATAATAATAAAAAAAAATCACTAGAAACACATGAAAGAGACTTTTTTTGATGAGACACACCGTCTATCAAAAGTAACAAATTGTTGTAATGAACATTTAAAGAATCAAATCAGTATTTTTTTTAATTTATTTTAAAAACCGTTTCTTTAATGGTTTCTTTGATGAGTGAGAATTTGTACAATTTGTTACAAAATGCATTTTTGGGGGGTTAGAATAAAGCAAGCATAATAAAAGAGCAAGAGCGTTACCTTGTTCGACTGCGTGCCATCTTAGAGTCTTTCTTTTCCTCCTCTGACTTGTCTGCAACAGAAGAGTTTTCATCATCCTCTCGGTCTTCCCGTTTGATGTCTGAGCTGCTGGAGGAGTGTGATGATCGAGCCAAACCACCAGGGAGACCTGAACATGAACATACAAATGCAAATATATCATTCTAAGACCCCCCCCCAAAAAAACATTTACAAACAGGTGGGTGGAAATTTTGCGGAAATTAGTTCAAAAGAGATTGGCATAAATGTAAAAATAATAGCAATAAAACTAGTTTTGTATTAGTAGTTTATTGCAAAAACCTTAATTTACTTTGAAGGAAACAAAGAAATAGTTCAACTTACTAGTAAAGCCTTCTGGTTGTCCGACTGAGGGTGTGGGTCCAGTTGCATGATGCCCATGAAGGAGAGTGCTGCTGGGAGGAAGGCCTGAGGCTTCCTCATGTTTCCCTCCCTGCTGATGAAGGTGGAGGACAATGATGTCAATAACGATGGACAGAACACAAAAAGAAAGCAGACTGCAAACGTTCTTCAACAAAATGGATTACAAACTTAAGAACACAGTCTCAGGCTGCATCAAAAATGCTACAGCTAGCTGCTATGGCCATTTGCTCTCGCACAGAACTATAAAACCTCGCAGCTCCGCAGACTGAAGTCGTCTTCTGGATAAAAGACAAAACGTTTCAACAAAGAAGACCCCGTCCAGAGCAGCTGACTCAACCTTACTAGACATAAAATTCAATGTGCATTGCTCAATTGACAGCCTAAAGTTTTAGAAAACCTTTACATTGCTTGAACCACTGAGACATTTTTGAGTTAATCTGCTTTAAAATGAGCAGTCCACTTTGGACTTGGCCCCCGTCAGACTAGCCATTAGCTTGTCAATGTGGTCAGAGTTAAACCATTTCTCCAAATTAAAAGTTGTTTAAAGAACTATTTGAAACAGGTAAGATATTAACTGTTCATAACTTCTCCACTGAACTCCACTTCATATGATCCAATTCAATTGAATTCAAGTCAGTTTATTTATATAGCACCAAGTGACAACAGAAGTCATCTCAGGGCACTGAGCAGAAACGTCTGCAAGTTCTGGTAGTTGTTGCAGTATAATCTTTGACCAGCAGATGGCGACAATGACAGTTCAACCTCTGTGAATTGAGTCCGGTAAAAACATGCCATTTTTAAGTGTTGTCCAGATACAGATACTGGTATCAGTATCCAGGCCAGATACCAGCCTCAAATACTGGTACTCATAAAAACACTTGTACTTTGGACCAACACCTATTTTATACGTTGTGACATGATTTATTTTTCGACTTCACAAGTAACCAAGGGCAAATAAATAAATAAATGTCCATAGTTTGGAGATATTTCAAAATAAAAAACAGGTAATGGTAAGACAGCAGATCATTTGTTGTGTTCTTAATAAAATAACTGTTTCTAAATTCATTGTTTATATTCAAGTACTAAATTTATACTTCTAGTTCCTCGCTACTTCGCAGTTCGCCTTTCGCAGACTCGCTATATCATGGTTTGTCAACACACGTAAACATTTTTTTTTTATTGTACAGTGCAGTACACGACATGAGTGTTAACTTTATAGTAATATTACTGTACAGTAGTCCCTCGCTACGTCGTGGTTAGTTTATCGCGGATTCGCTCCATCGAGGTTTTTCAAAATAAGACTGAACGTGACACACAATAGGCTGATTGATGGATGAGCCGCACGATCAGCATGAAATTTTTTATTTAAAATAAATTATTTTAAAATATTTAGCACCTGCTGCACATTTGTGGAGCCCAGAGTAGCAGAAAAAGCTTCCTCCTGCAGCTTTGTGCAGCCCATACTGTAGGATAAACTTCCTGCTGCAGCTGAACATCTGATCAGCTGTTCAGCTGCAAAGTGGAGAAGTGGGCGTGGCCAAGAGCACTTGCAGGTGGCAAAGAGCAGAGGAGGCAAGGAGCTGAAATCATCACATGCTGTGCTCTTTTAGAGCATTTAGAGTTTAGAAACATTGCAAGAGTGTGGGAATGGTTTAAAACGCCTTAATATGCATCTATATAAATAATAAAATAAACTACTACTTACTACTTGTACTACTATTCCTACTTCGCAGTTTTTCCAATTATCGCGGGTCTTTAAGGTATGGCTCCCCCGCAATAAACAAGGGACTACTGCACTCGTATGGTTGGGAAAATTAAAAAATAAAAATACATTCAGACAGGCGCTGCTATTTTCTAGTTTTCTTTCAATCAGCCTACACAGTAATTGTCACTCATAAGAACTACATTGCCCAAAAGTCAATACTGTAGTGCCTCTGGCCACTACTTTCTGCTGAACAGAAAATTAAATCGTGACTGCCGAACCAGCTTTTCAAACGTTAGATTTTAATCATGTCATTTGGACAAGTTTCTGTAAGAAAATTAAACTTGACAAACATAAGATTCACAAGAAAGAAATCACGTCAGTCATGTCTCTTTAAGAAACGGAGCATTGTGCTGTGTAACCCGTGCACTGAAGGGCTGCAGAGAACCAGACCTCCAGACTCAGTGGTGAACCCGGAAGCAACTAGCCGACCCGCGAGGGCTTCCAAGCGGGGACTTAATCGACCACCTTACGTCCTGCCGTCACCCCACCACCAAAATGAGCTTCGGCGCTCAAGTGCTGAACTGAACCGGACCAGAACTGGACCCCCAGGTTCAGTGGTGAACCCGAGAGATTCTAGCCGGCCCATGAGGGTTTTCAAGCAGGAATGCGCCGTTGTAGGTACCCTGCTATTTCCAGAGCCCATCTGGACTTTTTTCATCTCTCGGATCAAGGCGGAACCGAGCTGCTGCTGTTCTGCAGAGCCTGATAAGTAAAATTTAGTAGCTATACAGTGCTGTATGTATGTTAAAATGACGTAGGTTTAAGAGTTTAGAACATTGATATACTAATACTTTGTGGAATTTCACTTATTGTGGGGGGGCTTGGAACCTAAGACCCGCAATAAACGAGGGACTACTGTACTAACTCATTAACTACTCTACATGGATACTCTGTATGGGAAATTACCCAAACTGACCTGTGGGATCAATAAAGTTCTATCTTATCTTATTATCTTTTACTTGTACTCAATCTGAAAAATAAAACTTGTATTGGGACACACCTAAACTTTAACATGCCATGTAGAACACAAAGCTAAATAATCCCAGGTGATAATTTGCAAGACAATATAAAAAATATTTAAAAATATAAATTTATTTAAACGGGCAGCACGTTGGTACAACTGGTAGAGCTGCTGCCTCTCAGCGAGCAGGTCTCGTTCAAATCCAGGTCTGGGGGCCTTTCTGGGTGGAGTTTGCATGTTCTCTCTGTGCATGTGTGGGTTTTCTCCGGGTACTCCAGTTTCCTCCCACAGACCAAAAACATGCATGTTAGGCTGATTGGTAGCTCTAAATTGTCCCTAGGTGTGAGTGAAAGAGTGAATGGTTGTTTGTCTCGTTTGTCTCTATGTGGCCCTGTGATGGACTGGAGACCTGTCCAGGGTGTCCCCCGCCTCTCACATAGTGATGGCTGGACATGGGCACCAGTGACCCCCCGTGACCCAAAATGGAAGAAGCTGGTAAAAGATAATGAATGGATGGATGGATATTTATTTAAACTTCAGTATGAACAGTTTCTTAAGTAATGTTCAACCTGATGAACATCAGAGCCTCCTCTACATTATTTACAAAACAAAAAAAAAAACTCAAAATGCAGGTAAAGATAATGGATGGATGTTTGTTACATACACAAATACATAAGACACACCAAGCAGAGAAAAGGTGACTCACCATAGCAGGATGTCTATTGCTGAGAGCGAGGCTGGCGTTGGGAAAAGCTGGAGAGAGGCCTCCAAGGCCACCATTGTGCACTGAGGACAGGAGGCTGTGCATGTCGGAGTGAGCGCCCTCCAAGGCTGGACCCTGGCCCACAGCGTGGCTGCGCAGCACATGGATGGCCTCTTCCAAGCGATCTTCTATTTTATTTTGCTAAAAAATAAAAACATTACAAACAAGATGCAACATGACAAGAGAAAAGCTCTTAAAAAATTATTTAAAGTAAATGTTTATATTTTGTTGGGCACACACCTATTAATTTAAGATACGTTAAGCCAACTCCAGAAAATACCATTTTTATGAATATCTTCAGGTTTTAAATGATTTTTGTTATAGTAGACAAATACTTCAACCTACCAGTGTGTGTGGTTGCCCTTCAAAGTTGGGTGTGGTTGGTCTTTGCCACTGAGACTGAGCTCCTGCAGACGAGAGAATGTATATATTATTGAGCACCGACTTTTTTTTTGGTATATATTAAGTGCTTGCACACAAAACGACACCAGATGGAGCCACCGAGACAGGTTGGTGGAACTAAGATGTTTATATATGCAGCGCATCTCTTCCATTTAAGTTTAAATGATTTATATTTGGATCCCAAACGTAAAATCTGACTTTTTCTATACTTAAAAAAAGAACAATTGTACAATGTTTATAAAATTCCTGAGCTGTACCTGCGATGGTCTGAGGCGACCCAGGAGTAGACGGGGCTGAGGGGAAATTATTACTGTTGTGGTCCGACGGGTAAATCTGAACACAAACACATTAAAGTCAAGGTAAAACAAACATACAGGAATACAACACATCAAATAAAACAAATCTGCGCATTGCAAATCATAAACTAGACAACTGGAAAACGATAAACTAAGTTGTTAGTAAATCAATTTAACAGAGAATGTGCTTTTTTCCCCAAGGTGTTCTCTTGATAGATTAGAAATGTTTTATAAATTAAGGTTTCACAAATGATTAGACAGTTATTATTGTAGGTACAAGTTATAGACTTATGCTAATGTGTTAATGTGCTAAGATTAAAACTATTGTGTGTGTGTGTTGGGGGATGGGGGGCATATTTACAAATATTTGACATGAGATGTAAATGTGAAACCATTCCTCCTGCAAAAACTTCAACATAAAGATTTTATTGAGTGTCAGATGCTACAAACATCCTGTAGTTGTCGATTAGGATTTTTGATTTGAATAATTTATCATTTAAGGCATTTAATATTTTTCCACAAACACCATAGAGTGCCTTTAATTTATTTTGTTGGCCACTTGTGTTTTTTTTGTTTTGTTTTTACAAATACACCTCACTTTTTTTTTTTTTTTACTTACAGCAACAAGCTCCATTTACAAAAAAAATAATAAATAAATAAATTCTTAATGCATCTAAAAGGCATGAGCCCAATACAAAACCTCTGAGGAGAGAGCTATTTTTTGTCTCGTGAAAATAAATTAAGATGTTTTGTTGTCCGCCACGGACTACTAAAGAAAAAATGAGAACAACTCACTGAGGCAAGAGCCTTCCCAATTTCATCTCCTGAGCTGCTCGCTGTAGTACCTCGGCTGGCTGCAGAGATCAAATAAAAAATGCCAGTCAGATGTACTGACAATTTATTCTTGAATAAAATAAAACTATAATCAGATGAACAGATGAGTAGCAGCTGCTTGAAAGACACGTCTATGAAAAGTTCAGTTAAAAGGATTCTTACCCATGATGCCCTCTCCGTTGATGGTGGGTGTGTGGTTGTAGGTAGTGGGTGCTGAGTGGAAGCCATTGACCTCGCTGCCGTGCAGAGGATAGCTCTGTAAGGAGAAAAGCAGAGAGTTGAGCTTCTGGAGAAGTGCTGCGAGTACTTTGGGAAGGAGGTTTCTGTTCACCATTCTGTCTTGTGGGTTGATTGGAGGGAACGAGCCAGGCTGTCCGATGTGAGGGGAGTTGCTCAGCATGCCAGAATAGCCAGAGGATGACCAGGGATCTTCTGAGGAAAGCCAAAGTAGATTTAAAACAAAACAAAAAAATAAAACAAGCACTTTGGTTCATGAATAGTAACAAGCATGTTTTTATACATTCATTATTTATTTTTTGAAAAGCTACCTTGCATGTAGAAAGAGCCTGGATAAACTGTACCGGGTTTAGCACCAGGATATCCTCCGTTGTCCCTGACATACTCATCACTAGATGTGGAAGCATAAACCTGAACAAACAAACACACGGGTAATGAACAGTTTAAATAAGATGTTTAGATGGTATACACAGAAATATACACTGGTACAAAATCAAAAACTATTGAAATGTGAGTGGTCTGCAATATTTTTAGAATGGGTGGTACACGTAGATCATCTACTTCACCCCAATGAAAACATAAATCCACAAGAACAGCTCAAGGAGAACAGAAGAACCAGTTAGATTCAAGAATTACTACAAAAGTAGTGTTTGATGCAGATGGATACATCAAGTAGAAGTAGTATACTGTGTGTTTTGGTCAAAAATTGCTGGAACATGAAAAATTGATCATCGCAAAAATCATGAGAATTAAACCAACTAAGATCTGTGCAATGTTTCAGGCATATGTATCACCAGTTTATTCAATCATCTCCTTTCATTTAGCTATTACAAGCTAATTACAGTATCTTTAAGCAGCCACAAGATGGCAGGGGGGAGTCTGCTGCTGGTGAAGGAGGAAGGCCAGCTCCTCTCCTGTGGAGGAGAACACAGTGGCCATGGCATGCTGGGCACAGTGACGGCTCGAATCCCAGTGCACAGTGAGCATTTCCTCTCACTCCTAGGACCCCAGTGACATTGCACCGCTTGGCCTGCAGCCCCTCCCAATAAAATACTCTGTATCAGCTCACACACATACCATGCATTTAGTGAACTAACACACCCACCGATGCACAATCCCACAGCAATGCTCTCAAACAAATCTATACGTCAGAGGATTGAAACTAATACGATCATAAACTCTGGCAGAATTTACTATGCACACCAACAGTTCAGACAATCTAATTATTAGTAAGAAAACCAGCTCCTAAAGACGTAAGATGGACAAAGAGACGCCTTCAGTTTCAAGACACCATCATGTGCCACTCACTCCTCTTTTCCTCCGTTTTTCTGTACTACACGTTAGAGGAAGAGGGAGAGAATGAAGGCTATGCTGCAAAGAATGCTAATCCAGAAAAGGGATTTTTTCTGTAATTTGATTTAACAAGGAGAAGTGGAAAGGGAATGGAGAGATGCACTTCTAATTACAGAGCCATCTGCCTGTTCCTGGACCGCATCCAACTCCACAGGCAGCTGGGCTGAGGAGAGGCAGCGAGGAGAGGGGGAGAGGGAGAGAGAGATGGGGGCTGGGATCCAGTCAGCAAGAGAGACGAAAAAGACAGAGAGGGAGAAACTGTGGTGGGTAGGAGGTGGCAAAGGGGCAAGGAGGAAGACTGATTGGGGGGGTTGATGATATATGAAATGAGTAGAGAGATATGGGGTGTTCAAGGGGACAAGAGAATGTAATCTAAATGACTTAAACAAAGCTTGATATGACCAGGGGAGTGTGAAGGGAATGAGGAAGATTTAAAATGATCACGGTTAATTCAGGGAAAAACACAATGGAAATGGTTTCTTTTAACAATAAGCTTTGAGTTGTTTTTTCATTAGGAACAATGTCGCGTGGATCCTGCGGCTCTAGATGGAAGCCGAACACCACCACGACTAGTGGATATTGTATTTGCAAGAATAAAACGATTTATAGAGCAACAATAGTTTAATGTAATCCAAGTTATGACCATGTAAAACACTAGAAACAAGTTGTTGCAATGAGTGCAGGGTATAAGACCTTTAACACCAAACTATTTTCCAAGTGCTCATATTCAATCACAAGGGTTTTGTCTATTGGACAGAAAAGAAGTGCATGCATGGGTTTAAGATTGTAGTAAACAGGGGGTTGAGCATTCATGGGATTACAGCAATAATTTTGTGAACAGACATTGATGGAAAAACTTTACATGGTTATATGAGAAACGAGTAAGTGATTTAGAGCCACATCAAAGTGACAAAAAGATTTAAAAAATTGACATGAAGGTAAAGAAAAGTAGGAAGGGAGGAGTGTGGAAGAGAGGAAGGAAGGACCGCAGGATCATCATCATCATCAGCAGTCATTAATCTGGGCTCAGACACGAGGCTAAGAGGGCTCGCAAGCACCGTGCCTCACAACTGGGTCACTCACAGGGGGGAGGCCCTCCCAGGCCATCATGTGGTGAGGCGTAAGCAGAGGACTGGGTGTATGTGTGTGTGGGGGCGGGTGGGGGAGATCACATACTGACGTTTCATCATTCGCACTACAACCACACAGCCATTGCTCGTATTGTGGAGAATGACTGAGGTTCAGACAGTGAAAGAGGGACCCCCCCTCCCCGTCAGACAGTGTTCACACAGTCTCTGTGATGTAGGCAGTCACTACAGTAAAGTGTGTCGACACACACACGTTTCAGCAGCCACTTCAAGATGACAACACCCACAGGTAGAGGACAGCAGCTGTGGGTTAAACAAGCACAGCTTCATCTTCCAGTCTTAAAAAATTAAAAAGGGACTAAAGAATCACATCAGGTCCATCAACCTACTGGCTGCTGAGTAAATAATAAAACTAATCAATAAAGTCAATTTAACAAGTTTAATTATTTGTACCTATACTTTAAACTAAACAGAAAAATACAACACAGCTCACGTTTATTCTCCAAATTCATACATTAAGTTTCTGATATAAATATATTTTATAATTATAAAATTCCTCCCATACAAAATAAAAAAAGGTATATCTGTGCTCACATTTAGTCAAAATATCCGTTTGTGAACGTTGTGCTTAAAATAATAACAACCCAGGCCAAAGATATCTAAAGTTTGTGTTTCTTCTCTACAGCTTTGGGACACTGTGCTGAAATGCAGAAGCAACAAGTGTGAATTTAATCTTTGAGGTCACTCCTGTTATTTGAGAACTACAGTAGCACAAGGGGAGGGTTCGAGAAAATGTTTGTGCAATGGCAATATTTCAAAGTGGTGATCCAGTGGCAGCAAAAGCATCAAGACTGGGCTCAAATACCAGAAGAAACACAAACAAGTACCTGCTAGTGTCCATCAGAGTTGAACTATTATGTTTGCCATATTGTTAAAAATGCATCCATTGATTAAATGATACAAAAATCCTCTAGCCATATAAAAATACAAGCTTAACATTTTACTTCACCATTTTAAATTAAAAACACCTGTTGAGAAATAATAGTTACAACAATTTTGTTTAGATAATGTGTGTAATGCATCACACAATCATGTCAGTGTTTCCCCCACCATTATACAAACGGGGCGCCCCGCCCCGTTAACAGAACCGAGCATCCCGCCTACCAAAGCAAACTGTGTGCACCTCCACTCCCATTCGCACCACTGGCATAGCGCAATACAGGCGCGCTAGCTAAAAAGCTAAAGGCAGTGCTAAAGCTGTCTCTTCCCTCATGCTGAAACGCCCCCCACCTCCCGCGCTCGAAAACTACGGTTACAAACAGGTCAGCGCAGCTCAGCTGTGTCTCTGCCCCCCACTCCCTTACCGTGCTCGAAAACAGCAAACGGTGCAAAGCTCAGCTGTGTCTCAGTCTCTCCCCCTGCTTCAAAACTGCCGGTACAAACAGCGCGCAGCTCATATGCGTCTCCCACCACCACCACCCGCTCTTCGAAAAAAATCACAGATCAAATGAGTGCCTCATCATGACAAGTTATCTAGGAGAAACACTGCATTTTCTCAATAACTGTTAGCACTGAAATTATGTGTTTTAAAGGACTGTCAGCTACCACCACCCCAAACTTCTAATATGTATAAAGTTAACTAAACTATAGCTAATTTTTGTGTTTGCCAAGATTGCTTGGCTGTGATGGAAATCTTGAATTAGGCCGACTCCAAAAGGTAACGACTTGTAGATGTCAGTCCAATGATTATTTGCTGAAAGTTTCACTAAAATCTTATCTAAAAAAACACAGAATGTCATGATCTCAGCTCTCACTTTGTGTTCTCGGCCACGCCCAATTTTCCGCAGCAGAATGGAGATCTCAGAGGAGGAGCTGCAGGAGGCCATTTGTCCTGCAGTGTGGGCTGCACACAGGTGCAGCAGGTGCTAAATTTTAAATAATTCATTTTAAATAAAAATCCCATGCCGATCGTGCGGCTCATCCATCAATCAGTCAATTGTGTGTATTGTCCAATCTTATTTTGAAAAACCGCGATAGAGCGAGTACATGAAAAATGAACCACCAAGTAGTGAGGGACTACTGTACTTTGTTCAAGGCTCAGATAAATGAACACAAAAACATTCATTTTGCCTTCAGTGGCAGCTGATAAAAAGCCTACCAAGTTGTGCTGAGCTTGCACAACTTTTAATAACAAATCAAATCTCAGACACATCTACTGTACACATTTTGAAACATTTAGCAGGGCTGGCTGGTTATCAACACGAGTCAAACTCCAATTATGGAAAGACTTAAAAACATGACAAGATGCATGTGACTGGAATCTGATTCAGTTCAATCAAATGCAGAACGGTGACTTATTCTTCCAGTTATGTGTGGCTGCCATCATCCTCACATCAGCTGCTGGGTTGTCTGACAAAACCAGCACTTGGCACATTAGGTCATAGCGTCACAGATCACTTGCATTTCACGGGGAAGTGTTGGGTGATGAATTAAGGTTCAGGTTGCAACAATCAGAATAGAATAAAGTTACTTTAAAATAAATTAAACTAGGCAAATGTATTAATTTATCGCATTAACAGTCTGTTACAGAATAAGTACGCACTTTGTATGTTTTCTTAAACCCATAATTCAGATAAACTTGACTCGACAATCTTCTAAAACTTCAAAATTCATGACCGTCAACACCCAAACGTTTGAGACCACTTGACTGTAACAGCTATAGTGATGATGCTTATTGGGGTCTGAGTTGCCCAACTGTCAGCTCTCTGAGAATCGGGCTGAGCACAGGGTCTTTACCTCTGTCTGTCACAGGTCTGCTCAAGCAGACAGAGTACGGCAGAGTATATGTGAGCAGAGAAAGAAGAAAAAAACAGCAAAACGCAGAGAGACACTGGCTGGGAGCTGTGAAGACAAGAAATAAGCTCTCACCGAGGATGGCAGGCCAGGGGGTTTCCGAATTTTCTTTGGCTGGGTGTCTACACACAAACAGCAGAGACACAAAAAAAAAGTCAAAGATAGGCAAAAAATAACAATAAAAAAAACCTGTAAAAGGACTTAGCAATGACACATTTGCAAACATTACAACAGTCCAGGTGCAGTTTTATCATGAGCTTGTTCCAATTTCAGCTGCCGACAATAATAAATGTGCAGAAGAAACTTACAGTGAGCAAGACACGGGGGAAAAATGATTATTTGAATTCACATAGACCAAAATATTCATCTAAAAATATTGTTGTTATAAAAATTTAACAAGGGCTTGATATTTTTGCGTTTTTGAATTTTGGCCTTTTGTTTCCAGTCAACACAGATGCTCTAAATAATTTTAAGGTATCAGATTAAACATCTATTGTTACTATTTTATGACAGTGTAGACCAAACCTATAAAATACACTCGTTAATGAATAGTGGAAGATAAAGTGACAACAATTACGGACATAACAGAATGTTTGTCTCTTTACCTAAACCTCCATCAGGCGGCCTTCTCCTGGGGTTGTTAGAGTATGACGGGTAAAACTGAGAGCCGGACTTTATACCAGAAGGAGACAGAGCATCTGGGCTGGGCATCGCTATGTCACTGGGAAGAAAACCCTGCTAGAAAAGGACAGAGCAGAGAGGTTTTGCTAATCATATATACTGTATTGGTGTGTGGGAGAAAACAGCATAAAACAGCTTCTCTTCTAAGAAACAGAGACGGTTGTAAATTCAAAGTGTCTGAAAAGAGAACTGAGAAAAAAAACTGAGCTTCCTTTGCAGCAACACAGTACTTGAATTTAGGTTTCACTCGTATAACCTAAGCATGACAACGTATCACAATACCTGGTTTCCAAAGGGAGAATAAGGTGGCCTCTCATTTTTACCTGCGAGGTAAAAAGAGGTGGTTCAACATTAGTACTGTACACATTATAGGATGCAACCAACAATACATATAAAAAGTAGGTTCTTCACATGTAAAAATAAGTTGAGGCCCTTCCCTTTCTCGGTACACTCGGCTGCATAAAGCAGCCCGCCAGACAAAACCCTTGGGAGAGTTTCTGCTGCTGTGCCCCAACACTCCGTGAATGAGCACAGGCACACGTATACATGCAGAAATGTAGGCATGCAAACACATTATGCCATCCAGCAAACAATTCTGCGGTCAGGACAAATTGCCACAAAAACACTTTAAAAAAAAAAGAAAAGAAAAAACAACAACACTTAAAGAACATACCAGTAATCCCTGAACTGATAAACGGAGAAGACAAGCTTTCATGTTCACTGAAGTGGGATCCCTCTCCATAGGCCTGTAGAGGAAAAATAAAGAGTAGAAAACATTGAAAAAGTCAAAAGTAAATAACATGAGGATGAGAGTAACTTTAGGCAAATATAGTAATGCACACCTTCATACAGAATATAGACCATGCCATCGTTTCAGCTCACCTAAATAATGGATTAATCCTTACTCTCCATCAGATTTTCTAACAGGGTCCATGCCAAACAAATTTGTATCATCTTGAGGGATTCAAACTGACTTTCTTAATTATCAACTTGTGGTAATCAAAGCTTTCCGCATCTATTTCACCCCCTCCACCCCCCACCCAGTCTTCCTCATATTTACACAGAGTGGTGCCAAGACAGTTATGGTGGATGTGAAGCTGCAATTACCGCTGGGCTTCAACAGAGGTTCTGAGCTACCAGAGAGCTTGCCAATCCTGCAGAATCCTGCGCCAAGGTTATTAAGTAGAAAGCAAAAACTACAACTGCAAATCAAAAATGGCATTTGGCAGGAAGGAAAAAAAATCGTATTTGTTGTGGTAGTTGGCGGAGACAGAATGTACGTTTTCACCTTTGGTGGTGCGATTAACTGAACGTGTGTAAGTGACAGCATCAAGACATCTGGTATTACTCCTTAGATCTGTAATCTTAAAATCAGGTGCAACAAAACAGTATGGCTGAATGTGTTTAGGTCTTACCCGCCCTTGGCTGAATGAGGGACTGTTCTGTTCTGTGGAGCCCCAAGAACCAGAGCCGCTGCGCTCATCTATTGGTGGAAAATATATATATATTAAAAGTAGAAAGTGTCATCACGTTCCTCTGTAAAACAATGATTAAAATTACAAAAGAAAATGACAAAATACATGTAAAAAATGCTAAGAATATCAGCAGTCCTTAAAAAAAATACAAGTCCAGATAAGTTAAACACTTAAATTGTAGTCGAAAGAATGCTATTCTTTATATTAAATGTCCTAAGTGGCCACAGTGCAGCAGGAGAGTGTTGTTTCACTTTAAAGCAAATTTCAATGTTAAATGATTTCTAGGGGAAAGTGGGTATGAAATGCTGTGCAATGTTCCCATTAGAATTTATTATGATTACTGAATAGCATAAAATTAACCATTTACATTCTAATGTATGCCACGAGGTTAAAACTTTATCTGAGCCACATTTAATTAGACCCAGTAACGCTGACACAAACAAGTAAAACAAAATGTGTGAAGTAAAAAACTGAAACATGAGGTTAAAGGTAAGGAAGGAAATGATGTGTGGCACAAAGAAAACACAGCCAAAAACTGGTGAAGCAGAAAACTCCAAAATACCCCCATCATCCCCATCTCCCTGTCTAATGCACTAATGCTATCCAGGCTCTCTGGAGACACAGGGCTTAATTGCATACTGATTTGCATAATTGTGCATATTAATGCAGCTTCCTTATGAATATTCATATTTTGCCTTTGATTTTTCGCCTAATTAAAAAAATGTGTGTGAGAAAGCAAAAGAGCGAGCGAGTGGAAGGAGAAAGCAAGGAGACGAGCGTGAGAGAGGGAGAGAAGAGAGGGAGGAAGGAACATGAGCAAGAGGGGTCTGGGTGAGATCAGCAGCCTGGTTGACGAGTGAGAATGAGCGATGAGACTAACAGAGCGGTGCAAGCACCTACACACACTGCGACAGCCGTGATCTATGGAGCCGATGCCAGTGGCATGGAGAATCAGGCGAGCGGGGAGAAGGGACCTGAAAAGATCGGACCCGCACGCCGTCACATCAGTCCTGCGCTAATAAAGAGGTGAAGCCACGTCCAAAGTGACAAGACAGTGGCGACGAGCTGGCTGCTAAATAAAGATGACATGTTCTGTATGGAGAAACTTCACCCTGAGCTTTGAGCCAGAAAAAGTACAGTAATAACAAAAACAACAACAAAAAAACAACTACAATAAACAATCAGCCTGTCCACTGAAACTACACTCTTATTTTATCAAAGATTTTTCACAGGTAATAACATCACACCTACAGAGTAAACCACAAAACTACTCATCACCGCTGACTATACCCAGTACGGTACATGTTGACAAAAAACAGTGTCCTTCATCCTCCTATGATGCCTCCATTTGGCCAACGGGAGAGCAGAGAGGACAGAATGAACGCAGGGCTGTGCAGGGGAGGTCTGACAACATTGTTTCACACTTACTGGAGTAATTAACTCGAAGGCAATTAAAACAAGGTGGAAAGCTGCGGAGGTGGTACTGACACCTTCGAGAGCTCCAACTATGCTGGAACAGAGATTTTCCTATTGTTGTTCATCACTTGTCCCGTATCATATCAAACAAGATCACCACCACCAGTGATGAATTAATCCCCCATGGCTCATAAAACCAAAAATATTTATGGTCACATTTAACACCAGCCTCTTTTTAAAAATATTTTGATGCAGAATGCCTTGTTGCTCTCACAAAAAATAAGGAAGATTTAAGGACTTTAAGTAGTTAAGGTGTTCCTACATTAATTATCTTACAAGAAGAAAAAAAAAGATCAGCCCTTTAGATCCTATCTTTGAACATCTATGGATAAAATATTTCGCCAATATTAAATAGACTGAATTCTGGATGAAAATTATAAAACAATCAAGACTATCACAATAATGACTTGGTTCAAGTATTCTATTACTTTAGTTCCCTTGCTCTCCTGAACAAGTTTAGAGAATAAAACAACTAAAAGCTATTAATTCCACCTGAGATTAGCACATTGCATGGTCTAATGATCAGCAATGTAATAGTTGGATAGCGTGGCTAAACCATTTACATAAACTTTGGAAAACAGAAGGTTTGTTATGTGGCAACGTCCACATTTGAAAAAAAAAAAAAAAAAAAAAAAACTACAACTAGACTATTCAAATAGATTATCCGAGCTATGTTAAAGGAATAATTTAACGGTTTTAATTTGCTGTGCACTGAATACAGTGCCACTTGAAGTAAGCGATGAATATAATAAAATTAAATTAGAGCGGCAGAATGCCCTGGATTACGTTCTAATTGTGCTTTCACACAAATGTAAAAGTCAAAGAACTGTCTGGTTTACAATAGCTTTCTTTGCGTTTCCCTAGATTTCAGCTTAGCTTGTTTGAATGTACTCGCAAGGCAAAACAAATAATGACTGAAAACCAGAGCCCAGAAAAATATTTATTTTCTGAGCTACAAAGCCTTCTCATGGCTGCAGGCTCTAAAAACATTCAATTTTGGAAAGAAAAAAAAAATAGAAAAAAGAGCGAGAGAAGCCACCCGCATTTTAGATGTTTCCTTTGAGGGCTTGAGATTTTCCTGTAAGACTTTGACCAGTGTAGGAATAACTACATGAAAATTATGCAGTTAGGCAAACATCTGGGCGAAAAGTTAAAGACAGACCTATTAAGTTATCCACGAAGAGAGACCGCACGTGTAAATTCTGAGTTGTTTTTTTGTCATCTTCAGGAAGTAAGGCTGTTTTGTCCCTTGTATTTGTGTGTAAAGGGGGTTGGAGACGTTGCCAGCAGCTGCAGAGGTGACCAAGGGGACGCCTGCCTGAAGGCTTGTGGGCTTGGCTAACTCCCACCACACACCGTCACACTCTGCCTCCCCTACTTCTCAAACATCCCACACTTCTCGCCAATCCTCTTCTCTTTTCCCCCCCATCATTCTACACAGGGCATGTACACCCCCCCACACACACTTCCACACACACGCAGGCTAGTGAGGAAGAGAGAAGGACGCCTAATGCAATTAGCACCCCTCTGAGCACTTTTGTGTTGATGAATAGAGGTGGTCTGGTGGGCCACTAGGATGCTTGCTACAGTTCCCGCGCTGCAGGATCCTTGAATATACAAGCAGCCTAAATAACGTCATGGATGGACATTGTTATTTAATGCTCATCATTTTTACACTATGCAGATTTTATGGCCTCAGGCAATACATAAAGCAATGTTGGCAAAAAATTAGGGGGTTTAGCTTTAAAAAAAAAAAAAAAAAAAAAGTACAAGTCCCAATAAATACACATAGAAATTCTGTTGTTTTTACGTGGGGTGGGATCACATTCAATTTTAGTTTTTGACTGAAACTCTTGGGCCTGACTGCATGTGTTAGCGTTTTGACTCTAGTGGCTATTAAAGAGTACCTGCAGGATCTCCCCAAGTTAAAGGTGACAGCTTTAAGTATCACATTATAATGGGTGTCAATGACCAAGGGTCACACTTCAGGACATGAGGAGGGGGTAGGAATTAACTCCTCAGTGCTTAGTAATTGCCTGCTGTAATAGAAACAAACAGAATCCTGCCTTCCACAGACTGATCCCTCTATTCAACGAGCTCTCTTTCCCTACACTGGCCACTCACTGCATGCTGGGCCAGTTTAAGAGGCTGCAAGCTGGGGGTGAGGTGCATTGTCTCAGACTTGAGCCATTTCCTGCAGATCAGTGGGGGTAAGAGTTCTGCTCTGTGTAGGGGGGGGGGGGAGGTTATACTTTAGGGTGGGGGAGCCGTTTCAAGTCCATAAGCCCCATTCTTTGCCTTTGTTCCTCACTGGTTAAGTTCTCACTTTGGCAAACACTGGGGAGTGTGACTCAATTTCACACACCAGGTTGGCACGGTGACAGAAGAACGAAAGTAAAACAACTTACTAATAACCTTTAGAAAGATGGAAACCCTTACTCAAACCTTTCAGGTGCACTGAATGTGTATTTACTGCTAGGTGCCACTTAAAAAGGCTACAAACATTAAAAAAAGGCTTCAAAGTGAACAGCAATGCAAAACAATTGTGTTACATATAAGCAAAGCAATCTGCAACATTTTGATGGAGAAAAAATACTAAATGAAAACTGTAGTTAGCAGCTTGTCTTCTCCAAAGTTGCTACTAAATAGGAGTAAATAGTGATTTTTCTTTCTTCAAAGTAAACATTTTAACAAGTTATGCAACACAAATTAAAGTTTGTCCATGCTAATAAAGGTTTATAATGACGTTCAAGCACTGGATGCTAAGGTTTCTTGTGCTGCACTTTATTTAGATCTGTCTAAAGCTTTTGACACTGTGGATCATGAAATCTTGTGTCATAAGTTCTCAGAAATTGGTTTCTCATATCAAACCATTGGTTGGTTCTCCATCTTTCAGATCGGAGACAATGTGTTCAACATAATGGTACTTCTTCAAGTTATTTAATGGTTAACAACGGTGTACCACAAGGCTCAGCCTTAGAACCCACCCTCTTCACAATCTACATATGTAATGTAGGTCAGTTCATCCCTGATGCATCCTTACATTTCTATGCTGATGATACAGTTGTTTATTGTCAAGCTAAAACAGTTGCTAAGGTTTTCCAGCTTTTACAATCAGCTTTTGACATCATCCAGTCTGATTTGTTCCATCTCAAACTTGTGCTAAATGCAGATAAAACCAAAGGGATGTTGTTTTCAAACAGGAAGTCGGTCCCAGCAGGTCTTAATTCAATTTTATCTTCAAATGGTGCTTCTATCGAGTTTGTCGATTCAGTGTTTCCCCTACCATTATAGAAGAGGGGCGCCCTGCCCCATCAACAAAACCCAGCGCCCCGTCTACCGAACCCCACCCCAAACCACCTGTCTGCTCTGACATAACGCTAAACTAGCAATGCAGGTGTGCTAGCTAAAAAGCTAAAGGCAGCCTCTTCCCTCATGCTGAACCCTCATGCTGAACGCACCCCCGCCACTCGAAAACAGTCGATACAAGCAGCGCACGGTTCAGATGTGTGTCTGCCTCCACCCCACCCACCCCCCCCCACCAAAACCCTGCCGATTCAGACAGCGCGTGGGTGACGTGTCTGTCTCTCTCCTCTCACAGACCCTGCTCTAAAACTGGAAAACTGTTGGTGCAACCAGCACATGGCTGTCTCTGTGCCCCCCACCCCCCATCAAAAACTGTTGGTTTAAACAGCGCGCTGCGCAGCTTAGGACGTGTCTCCGTCCGTTTGTTTACATGAACGCCCCTGCAAGCACCCTGCAGATGTTGGACGCTGTCTGTCATGGTGCACTAAGATTTATAACTAGCTGTAACTATCGTACCCACCACTGCACCCTGTATTCACTGGTTAACTGGTCATTAACTTCACGTACTCTCTCACTGGAACATTTTCATCTTTAAATAACTTATTGGTCTGCTGCCTTCATACATCTCCTCCTACATGTCTCTGTGTGAGTGCAGCTACAGCGTGCGCTCTCAGGACATTATTACCTGCAGTGTTCCCTCAGTGTGGACTGAACTAGGCAAACGGGTCTTCTCCTACTCTGCTCCTGTTTCCTGGGACATCTTGCAAAAAGATCTGAAGCTCTCGACCTTGACCTCTCTAAGTGGCTTCAAACATCTGCTAAGTTCATGGCAAAAATCAATGCAGACATGTTCCTGTTCAGTATTCTACACCGCCTTACAACCTAGCTGTATTTGTTTAATGTTTTAATCATTTTCTTTCATTTATTCTTCTCAATTTATATGCTTTCTTTTATGATTGTCTACTGTTGTCATCATTCTTTGTTAACATCAGGTCTCTCTTGTAAATTAATCTCTTGTAAAGTCCCCGAGGCTTAATAGGACTAACCTGTATAAATAAAGGTTGAATGAAAAATAAAGGGGTGAAACATAAACAAAACTGAAAATGTCTAAAAGGCAGATACCACACTTTTTTTTTTTACAGATTCTGTTGCATTAACCTTGTAAACCCTTACACATATTTCAGCAGCTGTTTTGACTGCGACAATGTGTCTTGTCACTCAAGTTTGGCAGTGAACATGACGGGTAAAGATTTTATGCAGTTATCCTAGTATGTTTTGATTTGGTGCATTTACATTCAACAACAGCATCCTGATGATGCAGGATTAAAAATCAACAAGACATACAATAAATACAAAGCCAAACAAACAAAAAAATAAATAAAACCTCTTACCCGATGCAGCAAAATGAGTGCTGGCCAGAGTCATTGTCCTTTTTCCATTCGCTACTGGTGGTGCAAACATCTAGAAAACAAAAACAGAGATAACTAACAAGTCAAGGAACGCACACTCTACACATCTTATTTCTATCAACATCTTTCACTCACACACACACACACTCATGTTGTTTACAGGCATTTCAGTTCTGCGTCAAGTCTAAAGTGAGAAATAAACAATAAGATTTTTAAAAAATATATATTGATTATGTTAAAAGTAAAACCTTTAACATTTTTCACTGCAAAAAAAAAAAAAAAAAAAAAAAAAAAGCTAATTTATCCCTTAAATAAAATACTTCACAATAAATTGTTCAACCATTCCTTAGATATCTAAAGACAGTGATATGTACTTTAACTAACATCGATGTCACCGAGCTGCTGTGGGCTTTACCACGAGGTTATGGTGTGGTCTCAACAGCCATTATGTGGCATCTTTCACCGACACTACATGTCTGATGTACAAACAAAACGCTCTTAAACTAGGACTCTACAACTCAATTTGCCACTCCTGCATATAACCTTGTTTTAAACACTTCAAACAGCAGAGTGACTGTTTTAAACACTCGACTTGCTTCAAACATATTATTCACTCTGCAAACTTGTTTGGTTTTGGTCTGTTCCACGTTCAAGGCCAAATGCTTTCCTATGACCGGCAAGAAATTAAACAAAGAAGAGGAAATCTGTTTATGTTTGACAGTTTCTTTCCAAATTATCAACGCCATATTGGAACAAAACATCTGTTAATACAAATGTAAGCTGATCAATTTGGACTCTTCTTACACAAACTCGACTGTCTAATGAGAACCAAAAGAAACTCTTTCCACAGCAAGATGTGTTTGTTATTTCACTGGTTGGCTTTTCAATAATAAAAAATCATAACCACAACAACTAACTAAACTGTACCAATCACAAAAGCACATCTCTATGTAAAAATCAGGCTTAGATACACAAATCGTTTGAATTACTCCTAAATATAAACAGCTGAGTAAATGTAATTCAGATTTTTTATCAAATATACTTCTGACATAACATCTTCTGGCAAATACTCAATAATAGTTTTAAAAAATGCCTGCTAATAATACCAAACTGGGTATCATTTGCTTTTCGGTTTGTTTGGGTGAAAAGACCAACATCTCCACTGGGGCTAGGAGATGTTTATGTCAGTGTTAAGCTGCAAAAGGCTTCACAACAAAATGAAACGCAAACAGAAACGGAGCAGAATTTCTCTATCCACTTTGTAGATAATGTCAGGAGGATCGTTCCGAGAGCAACAAAGTAAAAATCTCTTCCTGAAGACTTACTTTATGACAAAAAACAAATGCAGAAGCTGTCAGCTCAGCCCAGATCATACAATCCCCAAAGATCCAGTTAACAATTCAAACAGTGCTAAAATTATTGCTACCGTTTCCTGCACTTGTTCCTGATTCACACTGTGTAGTTGACGGTGGATACTAAAATATTTTACCTACATCTGTGGACAGTGCAGACTATATTGTACGCAGATGAGTTAGGACCGTATTTAAATTTGGAAATCTCGCCTGCATGTCAGAAGGGTAAATATTATGGGCTAACAAAATCAAATGTGTTATATATTTTAGTTTTAAATTTTCAAATGTTCCTTCCTGGTCTCACTTTTTTCAGACCACCACTTTGAGCTGCTCTCTCTCTCTCTTTGTATCGCACTCTTTCTCCACCCAGAACCACCCAGACTGCTCTGCCACTCTCTTACCGCGCTGAAATCCAGGAGATCGCTGAGTTCCTTGTCCGTTTCCACTGCAGCCATTCTTTGCTGCTGTTCGTTCATACCCTTCCGCTTCTAATAAACCCTACGAGAGAAATTTTCAAATACAGGATTTTTAAAAGCACTTCGAGACTTCATATTTAAAAAAGAGGTTATGATGTTAACACATCGTTTAAACTACTCTACCTTTGATATATCCAAACACTCATCCTAACACATTAGGATTCCTGTTTAAAGTTCAATCTGACTGATTAGAAACCAGAGCTGCAGCACTTTCTTTAAACAAAAGCCACTTTTCTCATTGCTATTTTTTTTTCAAACTGTAATTAAAAACATACATGAAAATAATCTACAACAAATGCATATTCAAGAGGTTGAAAACAATTGTCAGCTGACCCAAAGCACTCAGGATCAAAGTACTTTCAGGTTTAATTATGAAAGTATACAAAAAAACACAAGACTACTGAACGCAACAAAAATCATAGATGGGTTTACTTTAAAGAAACATGTTTTCCTACAAAACACAGTTTTGCCATTTAAGCAAAGACACACCATGAATTGATGATGAAGACTCTGCCTTTAGTCAAATCACTACCAAGTAATGACATTAAAAGAAATTGTCTTTCATTTTACGCCACCCTGGCAACTAACAGAACCATATGTCGATCATTGCTACATAAAAGAAAACGTAATACACTTACAATTACAGACATAATTGGGACTATTGTTAGCCCAAGGAAATGGGGGTGAAAGGCAGAGCTAATGACTGTACGCAAACACACCATTACTAAATTACCATATGTCAACTCAGAAAGAAGCTTGTCAAAAGACAGTGAGCATGAATACTGGATTTACTCTGGGCTTTGCATGGCAGTGCGAGCCGGAGGCCGCTTTCTCAAGCTGAGCAGTGGTTCTGTGAGGTAACTGGTGTTGATGGGAGCAAGTGGAAGAATGGAGGCGCTTGGACACCAACAGGTGGTGTGCTTTTACAGCCTCTTTTGTCATTTAGAAGAAGAAGCATGCAGCGTATACTGATGCAACAACAAATTGACAGAAATATCCAAAAAGATGCATGTGATGGTGAACATGCAGACGAGTCAGGGACTATTTTAAGTGACTTTAGAGCAATACAGCTCGAGTGAAATGGATTTAACTCAACTCTGGAATAGGAGAAAAGTCTACGCAAAATTATTCCTACAAGTCCCCTTAAACCTTGTGGTGAGATAACCGCTGAAGGACACAGCAGGTCGTAAACACCACCGTCAAAAAACTTTCCAAACACAATCTACCTAAGAGTTAAATGGTGCAGAGCACATGGAGGGGGCTTTATGAAACAAAATGGCATCTTCAACTACTGCTGGATCAATATTTCAAGCAGGCAGATTAAGGGGTCTTTGTCACCCCCACACAAAGCAGAGCACACAGGTCCTTCTGCACAGAAAGAGTCTGCACTTCCAGTAAAACAAATCCCCTGGTCTAAGAAATACCTTACTTTTAATTCCTAATGCAAAACAAATGTAAGTGTTAGATATCAACTATACGAATGACAATCTATAATATGCAGCCTATTTTCTATGCATATTAGTGTCCAGTCGATTTGGACTGATTAAAAGTCCTAAATTCTCACAATGCAACTGCATCTATAACAAGTGCCAACAAAATGCAGTTTCATCTGTTGATTCAATTTACCACAGTAACTTAAAAAACATTTACTAACACATGGAGTAAACCATAACAGTGCCAGGAAACAGAATGGATAATCAGGGCATAAGCTGTGCATTTGATAGGCCCAATCCAGAGCCAAACTACTGCTGAAAACTAACCAATTCTTTATTTATTATATGCCATGTTGACATGGTGCTCCAGACTGAGCAGAAAACATAAACTCTTGTTTGTGCCTTCTCTGGGTAAAGCATCGGCTGAGACTTTTGGAGGTCAAGAGCAAAGATTCAAACTTCTAGCAGCATTTTTTTTTTCCTGACTTCTCAAATAATTTAGGGTTCAAGTCGTGCATTATGAGAGGGGGATGAGCGGAGGACGGTGGGGGTGGGAGCAGGAGGAATTTCCTGCCAAATGTGCAATAAAATAAGTCTAGCTGGTGGTCAGACACTTCCATTGAAGAGTGGGCTACAAAATAGTGGTTTTACGGAAAGTTTGTTTTACGCTTGTATGAAAAATACACGCGCAAACTTTAGCTAAAATGCTAGTTAGCTTTCCACGACGTTAGTATTTAATATTTCCACTTCACTGACTGGAGCTAGTTAAACAAACTGCGGCTTGTTAGGCGACAACAACCTTAATTGAGTCTTTTTTTGCAGAACAAAGAAGTAATTTCCTGCCGGAGACCGTCACACAATTGGCTCGCCACCTCAATCCAGACAAAAAAAAACCTTAACATCCCCCCGCTTTTTAACCACATTCCCAAAAAACTTTTCTACAAATGCAGGCGTCCAAAAAAAAAAAAAGATGAAACCCGTTAAATTAATGTTGATTCCCTCCCCCCACACACACGAAACGTAAAGTGTAAGAATGTGTTTTTACCTCTCCTCTTCAAGTGCCTGGTATCCAGCGGTAAAAATAAAAGCGGAGACTCGCAGGGGGAAAAACATAAAACTTCAGAGAATTTCGGCCTCAGTGCATGAAACGCATTAGAACACAGTGGATGTCTTTTCTTTTGTCCCGAGAAAGCCTGTTTTTTCCACGCAGCGCCCACGTGCTTGCTTCAATGTAACAAAGTCTGTGTGCAAACAAATCTATTATAGTAACTAATCTCTCGTCTTCCTTTTTTGTTGTTACAACTGAGATGATTTCATTCTTCTCGCAGACATCTTCACCACCTCCGTCCACATTGTCAGACGTAACGTATCCCTCCGCACAAAAAAAAAAAAAAAAAAAAAACCGAGGGCCTCAACGCCAGCGGTGTCCGATTTCAAACAGCCATAGGGATATGGGGTACTATTCGGAGATGTCGAAAATATGGGTTTACCTCTTGTCGTGTTCGAAGACACAGAAATATCTAATTCTGACGTCCAGTGTATGTATTTTCCAAAGCGAACGGTATTTATGAGCACTAGGTCGTCGAGCGGAAGGCTATTGTAAGAAAGTTACCTGCTATTACACAGCAGCAGCTTGACGAGATGGCACGATAAATGCGAAAGACGTTAGCCAATAGAAAAGCGAAAGTGGTTGATTGACAGCTATATAAGCCAATAGATGAACAGGATTTTGCTTAGGTCCGCCTTTTTTTCTTTTGACGCTCACTTTCTCTGTGTGCTCAGTGAGGCTGGCTGAGGGGGGCTACAACATGCCCGCTGACATCATTTAATAGTTTGGTTGGTGGGTCTACTTTTTGCTTTATTATTATTATTTTTTTTTTCTAAATTAAAAAACAAATAAAAGCTTGAAGTTTTCACAAAGTTTAACAAATCATCAGATTAGTGCTGGATTATTTCTAATATAAATGGGCTCAATTTAATAGTTTTAATGCTAAATGGTAAATTATCTTATTAGCCATTTCTCCACCATGGAAAAAAAAAATGTCATCATTATTAGTGCATTTTTAATTTTTCTTTCAATTAAAACTACTCGTCATGAAGACTGGTATAAAAAAAAATCATTAAGTAAAGAGCAATATCCATTTTTTTTTTCATTATATCATTTGTTATAGTGCCCTTAAGTTAAAATATTGGATGCAAACTTTGCAAACAGCTGCCAAATACAAGCGTTTACCAATGTACAGAGCCAAGTGGATGAAAATAGGTCAACAATGGTGGCAGTCATGAATACGTCATTTAGGATTAAGAAGTATGACAATTTTGATGTATTGGCACTTTTTATGCTCAGATTTGCCAAGTGAAATTTGCCTTTAAGCTGAATTAGTAAACTTAACTGTCTGGAAAAGGTTTCATAAAAGCCACTGTTGTTTACATTAAGTTCATATGTGCTTTTCAGAATTGCATATTAATTCATCTGGAAAACAACTGGTGTAAGTGCTTCCAAACTGCATCATTTAATGTCATTTAGAATAACAATTCTAAGATTGGTGTCATGCATTGCAATGAGTTACTGAAAAGAAAATGGCTAAAAAAACATACAATTAATAAGGAAGAGCTTGTATAAAAAATGCTGTGAAATGGCAACAAATAGCAATAGTAACACAAAACGCAGCAATGCTAAAAATCTAAGAGAAACAAACAAAAGATTGTTGTTGTTTCTTTGCAAATTGTTGTGTATGCAGCCAGTGCGTGAATGAACTGGCAAACATAAAACCAACCCAGCCCTTGGTAACTGCCTTGTGCACAGCAGAGAGGAGGGCGGGCAGAGTATAGGATCACAGAGAAGGGGGAGAGAAATAGTTCAGGGAAAACACTTCAAGTGGGGAGGGCACACAGTGTGAATGTGCTCGTAACATTCAATTTCTTCTTTTGTGGAGTAAATTGGTTTTAGAAATCAACAACTTTCGTATAGCCTTGATTATGAGAACAAAAAATTAGAAAAGAAAAACGTTTAAAATTGAACAAAATCTGATGACCCAGTTTCACACAGCATGTACAAAACATGTCAAATTTACCTGAAAGCACACAAACCTGCTGCAGTGTAAAGGTGTGTAGGTGTTAGACAGCTGTTAGGGCTTAACCTGAGGGTAAACCAGTCAAAGAGAAGTTTAAATGGCCCTTCTTTCTTGTCCCTTCTGCATCATGAAGGACCCCACTCACCCAGCGCACACACTTTTTGCCCTGCTCCCCTCAGGAAGGAGGTTGAGGAGCATTAAATGTAGAACTGCTAGACTGAGGAACAGCTTCTACCCTGACTCATGAATATCTAACCAGAATAATCACTGTGAAAAATCACATCACGTTGCTGCTGATCTGTTTCATGTTGCTGCTGATCTGTTTCATGCTGCTGTGTTCATTCGTGCCCGTCTACTCACACAAACTCATGTTCGTGCTGATGTTCGGCACATTGTTTGTATGCTATTAGTGCTTAGTGTATTTTAAGTTGACGTTTTTCTCAGTTCATATCTTAGATCTTATTATTGTTTTTCTTTTACATTTTATTGTTGGATGTAACTGGGACCCTGTGTACATAATTTCCTTCCACCACATGTACCACATGAGGTGCGAACGACAATAAAGAAACTCTGACTCTCTCTTTGTTTCTTGTCTGTTACCGACAAATATGCAAATCTTCTAGACGTATTTGAAGAAGAAAAATAACGTTTACGCAGCTATTTATTAGTTTTCTTTTCTATAGAAGAAACCAATTTATGGTATCTTGTTATAGCTTGGGGACAATACCCATTTGATGTGAGTTATAACAATGTAGGGCCTACAGCAGGGCTATTCAACTGGCGGACCGGGGGCCAAATCAGGCCACAGGTGAGCTCAGTTCGGCCCACCAATGGGTTCATATTAAATAAAACTAGATTTTAAACCATAAAACAAACTTACTTAATGACAATAACTGCTGGATGTCCAGCCCCTGAGCTCTTAGCTTCCAGTAACTGTGCCCCCTGAGCACTTTAGTTGAATAGCCCTGGTCTATAGCATTCCTTAGAGAAAGTGGCTTTAAAGACATAGTTTGACATTAAGATGAAGGACAGAGTTGTAGCAGTTTTGGTCCAACCTTAAAATAATATACATCTAATGATTGCTTTCTAAAAGTTTCGTTAAAACTTGTACATGAGATATTTTGCTAAAAGTCTAACAGGTTTAACTCCAACAGTAAATGTTTGAAGATGGGCACAATGACGGGATCTTGGAGTATGTGTTGTGAATGAATATACAGTCACGTCAAATTTCAGCTCCGTGTCTGAAAGTGACTGAGCTTTAGCCGTGTGTTTTCTAAGTTCTGTTGGCTGTGGCAGCCATCTTTAAATGAAGTCAGCCCCAAAAGTTCATCTGTTGTAAATATACATTCAATGATTATTTTCTGAAACGCTAATTAAATCCAGTTGAGTGGTTCATGATATATTTTGTTAACAGACAGACAGAGTTGACTCCAAATAGTTAAGAACAAAAGTTAATCAAAGATCTTGTGCAACCTGTTGGTGTCGGTGGAGAGTCTCAGCTACTACATCAAATTTTAGGTCACCTTTTATAAAACTGACTGAGTTGTAGTCATTTTTGTGTTTTTTAGGTCAGTTGGGTGTGGCAGTCATCTTCAATGGGATTGTCTCACAAAGTCAATCAGTTGTTGATGTACACCTGTTGAATATTTTCTGCACATTTCATCAAAATGTATCCAGTGGGGCATGAGATATTTTGATAACAGACAGACTCGCACTGACAGCATTGTCTGATTTTGCCTATCGGCAGTGAGCGAGATGAGACAAATAGAAATTCTGGTCACCTTCTTAATGTCATCCACTCCAGAGTTTCAAAGCATTAATTTGCACAAGCAGTGAGAAAGAAGACTCTTTCAATGGGACATGTAGGTGAATAATCCACTGGGCGTCCCACAGGGCAAAGGAAGGACGCAAAACATTCATTAGTTTTGTAATCTGACATAGCAATGTAATGGGGTTATAGCTTGGAATGAACGCACATATGGGCCATAAATGTCTTTACAAACATACCGAGCACACATTCATGTTTGGGTGTCTAGGTAAAAAACCTAACGGACAAGCAGATAATTAAAAAAATAAAATAAAATAAACAATTTAGGAAGAGGAGATGATCACAGTGACGAACAAGAAGGCATCCTGAGATATTAACACCTGTCTGGAATCCTTTTATTTGGGAATCCTTTACCAATGGATGACACTTTATTCTGTTTAGTCTGTTATTACTGTTTTTCTTATACATTTTATTGTTGGATGTAACTGGGACCCTGTGTACATAATTTCGCTCCACCACATGTACCACATGAGGTGCGAATGACAATAAAGAAACTCTGACTCTGACTCTGACTCTGACACTTTAAGAGCTGGAAACATCTGTTTGAAGGAAATAAATTTACGGTGGCGTCAGAGAAAGTCTTTCATATATTCTTCTTTTTTTAATTTTATTTTATTTATTTATTTTTTTTTTGGCTGACGTTGAAGGGAAAAGTGGTGCTGTTGTCAGGCTATTAGGCTTGTGAGTCCTCCGAGTAGTTTGTAGTAACAGCTGGGTCTGACATGGAGAGCATGTACAAGGGCAGCCAGTCTGAAGATTGTGTGTGTGAGTGTGTGTGAGTGTGTGTGAGTGTGTGTGTTTTTGTGGGGAAGAGACTGACAAAACACATCGACTAAGAAAATTCACCCCAGTGGAGACAGAGTGCACCTAACTGAACTACACAATAATGACAGCTAAAGAACGCAAAAAAAAGTGCACGTTTTCAACATTAATATACAGGAATACCAAACAAGCACACATAAATGTGTTTTTTTTTATTCATTTGTACAGTTGAAGGCAGAATGGGGTGGGATGGTGTCACACAGACCCTCGTTGATTTCTTCAAGCCATTTCCAGCTTCATGCCTTTAATTAACGACAGATGCACACTAAAAATTAGCATATGTTTGGCACATTGGTGCTAATCGGTCATATATTTGTGCATATTAATGAAGTATTCAATACGTACTTGGAACAACATAAATTCTCACAAGAAACAACAGCCTGTAATAATCTGTATTTATGTGTGCTAATTATTTAATCCTCTTTGGATTATTATTATTATTTTTTTTGACTTCCAATGCTCTGCAGAGCACAAACAAAGTGACATCCTGCAACAAAAGCATGGAATCATGCGGCTGCTTTAACCTCCACTCAAACAGCAGCCGATGCAGGAGCCAAACCGCATCCCCGGGTTATATCACCCACAAGAATAAGCCTGAAAACGCAGCAGAGGGAGCTCGGTGGTGAGGCGAGCTGCTCACCTCACTTCCACACTGAGCCCCTCTCAGCTTGTAATAGTAGAGGCTTAGGTTTGGGTGGGGGAAGGGCAGAGGTGCACAGGTTTCTGATCAGACAAGAAAACTAGGCCAAGATCAACAATCCCTCTCCC